GGCCCTTGGACAGACGGCCACCGTCACCTGCGAGGGAATAAATGTTGCTGCTGTGTGGTTCCAGCAGAAGCCGGGCCGGGCTCCTACAGCGCTGGTTAATACAAATAACAACAGGGCCCCGGGTGTCCCTGAGAGGTTCTCTGCCTCCAGCTCGGGGAGCTCGGCCACTCTGACCATCAGCGGGGCCCAGACCGAGGACGAGGCTGACTACCACTGTCTGTCAGCTGACAGTAATGGTGATCCCACAGTGACACACGCTGATGGGGAAGTGAGACACAAACCCCTCCCTGCATGGGCCGCCCTGTCCTCAGCCAGGGGATGGACACAGCCACGATCACTCCTGACCGGGGCCCAGCTCGGTTGCCCCTTCACCCCACACGGGAGTCCAACCATTGTGACCCTGACTTCTGAGGTGTGTCCTAACCACAGGGGTCCTGGGGATTGAGAACCAGGTGACAGAGGAGAGACAGCGCTGGGGACTTCAGAGCAGCTGTGGACAGAAGGAGGGTGCCCAGGGCACAGATGGGTCAGCGTGAGGGAGGCGCAGGCTGGCAGAGGCCTCGTCCCTGGGCATCAGTGAGAGGATCTCACCTGAGTCCACACACCTTCGTGGCTTGTGGTCCCGGCTCCAGAGGACAGTTCCTGCTCTGGCGTCACTTGACGTCACCTCCAGAGCTTTGTCTACACTGGGAACAGGAGAGCAAACTCCGTGCCAGCTGAGAGTGGGAAAGAGTAGAGCGAGGATTGAAACGTGTGAGGTCATTTTACAGAATAGAAATAAGTATTTTTTAAAGATGTATATTTCTGCATGTAGAACTGGGGTACAGGCCAAGGCGGCTGGTGGAGAGGACTCAGCAGAGACTGAGAGAGGGCCGAATACATAGGCTGATGAGGTGCACTGCTGAGGGAAGCAGCAGGGAGACAGGAGAGGTCAGCTGCCCCCTGGCCCACTCCCTGGCCAGGGACCAGCTCCTGCTCTGGGGCTGCTGAGGGCGTCACGGTGCTGGGGCGTCACTTGCTGCACCCACAGCAGGGCCCAGCGCAGAGACGCTTACAGACACCTCAGAGGAGCTCAGGTCTCAGCATCACTGGAATCGCTCAAGCACCTGGATCAAGGGAACTTTCCTGTGGTGCATGAGGAAAATAAACGCCCTGGTAGGAGGAGAATGTCAGAGATCCCACAGTGGCCTGGGCCAGGTCGGAGTCCAAGGGTCCCTTGGACGCGGTGGGCAGTGTCCTCCAGTCTGGGCTGCTCCCTGGGAGCACCCGCGGGCTCCAGACTCCAGTTCCAGATGCACGAACCCCCCGGGCAGGCCATTGGCCAGGGGCTGGGCGTCAGAAACTGAGGTGCCTGCACCCCGCGCCCATTCTCTGTCTCTTGTGCTCTTCTGGGAGGTCAGGGAGCGGCACTGGCACAGGAGGGCTGGACACTGCCCCACTCCCCCTGGACAGGGCCTGGGGCCACTGTAGACAGGGGCCTGGCGACTCCCCACCAGCAGGGGGCAGCAGAGCTGCAGCAGAGGGAGCAGGACAGAGCTGGGCGGCCCAGGAGCTCCAGGGGGACAGGACAGGACAGCTGCAGGGAGCTCAGCCGGCCACCCTGCCTGGCGGCCAGCACATCCTGAGAGACCCTCACCCTCGCCCAGACGATGGCTCCGCCTAGAAATGCGGCCAGGGCTGTG